GGTTTCACTGAATGTTAACGATCAATAATACAGAACAATTATCTCTTTGTTGTGTTAGTTTGTATCAGACAGGTGGAGGTGAGGGTGTAAACATGTTTTTGTCCTCACAGGTAAACCGTTCAGCTGATGAAGAAATTCTAGAAGCAAACAGTCTGCAGAGTCTGATTCAATAAAGTTTGTTCACATTTAGGTGTCTGTGGTCTCTAACTGCTCAAACACAACAAGCAGGTTACAACTATCAGGTGCTGATTCCCTGCTGTGGTTTATGTACCATGTTACTTTGTGTATTACTACTACTACTGATATTATTATTACTACTACTGTTCAATTTATAGAAAATAACCACAATTTTAAACTCAGTTGGGGAGAAAATATTTTTCATAATTGTTACTTTATGACAAACAACAATCTCAAAATGAGAAGCTGATTTCTGCCATACTGACTATGTATGTATGTATGTATGTATGTATGTATGTGTGAGCGTTTGTTCTCGTATGTATGTGTGTATGTATGTGTGTATGTATGTATGCCATACCGACTCTGTTTGTATGAGTGAGCGTTTGTTCTCACCGTCAGCAGACACAAACTGTCCCACAGCAGAAGAAACTCCTCCGCTACCCTCCACAAACTGAACTTCAGAGACGATGATGTTGTCCTCGAGAACAGAACCACAGCTGGTACACACGGCACTGCCTCGGGCCTGATCCACGTCTATATCGGACCCCCCACAGGTCCTGCACACCCTGGAGCTCATGGTGTAGGAGGTCAGAGGTCAACACAGTCTGCAGGTCAGAGGAGGTTTAACACCATATTTTAAAGATAAATCAGTTTACATGTAGAGTAAACATAATATTGAGATCATTTTAACACACATGATTCACAATTAATGAAAATGATCATTTGACTTCTGCCACAACAAAGATTTACAAAAATAATGAGTATATGGAGCATCCAGCTGTTATTGAATATAAAACCACTGCTTCTGGTGAAATACAGAAATAAAACCATTATTGTATACGACCGTAATCCGAAATCAGCACTGAGTGTCTGATTCCTGACTCACGGCTTTAAATAGTCCACATTAATAATTCTATTGGTCAAATACTAGACTGGAACTGACTGGTGGACTCACCAACTGCAGAAGACAACAGAGTCCAGTAGAGACCAGCAGAAGACAACAGAGTCCAGTAGAGTCCAGTAGAGACCAGTAGAGTCCAGCAGAAGACAACAGAGTCCACTAGAGTCCAGCAGAAGACAACAGAGTCCACTAGAGTCCAGTAGAGACCAGTAGAGTCCAGTAGAGTCCAGTAGAGACCAGCAGAAGACAACAGAGTCCAGTAGAGTCCAGCAGAAGACAACAGAGTCCACTAGAGTCCAGTAGAGACCACTAGAGTCCACTAGAGTCCAGTAGAGACCAGTAGAGTCCAGTAGAGTCCAGTAGAGACCAGCAGAAGACAACAGAGTCCAGTAGAGTCCAGCAGAAGACAACAGAGTCCAGTAGAGTCCAGTAGAGACCAGTAGAGACCAGTAGAGTCCAGCAGAAGACAACAGAGTCCAGTAGAGTCCAGTAGAGACCAGTAGAGTCCAGCAGAAGACAACAGAGTCCAGTAGAGTCCAGTAGAGACCAGTAGAGTCCAGTAGAGACCAGTAGAGACCAGCAGAGACCAGCAGAAGACAACACAGACCAGTAGAGACCAGTAGAGTCCAGCAGAAGACAACAGAGTCCAGTAGAGTCCAGTAGAGACCAGTAGAGTCCAGTAGAGTCCAGTAGAAACAACAGAGTCCAGTAGAGACCAGTAGAGTCCAGTAGAGTCCAGTAGAGTCCAGTAGAGTCCAGTAGAGTCCAGTAGAGTCCAGTAGAGACCAGTAGAGTCCAGTAGAGTCCAGTAGAGACCAGTAGAGACCAGCAGAAGACAACAGAGATCAATAATCCAGGTTGGCGGTTATAACGGTGGAGCCGTTCGTTTTATTGTAATTTCTCCGTTAGAATCCATTTTATTGATCTTTCAGTCCAAACGACAATCAATCAGTAGCTGATCATTTGAATAGTCTAAGGTTAAAACACTAATTATTGATCACAGAAAGGATTCTGGTCAGTGTTTCGGGTGGTCTGTTGTTTTCTTCCTGTGTCGCCTGGGAGTGACGTCACGGGGTCCTGACCGAGAGCTTGTATATCGTTGGCGGGAAAACTGATATTAGAAATGTAATATTTGCGGTCTGTTTTAGTTACAACTGCAGAATATAGTCAATTTATTATTGTACAGTACAATAAAACTGAGTATTTTACATTTAAAACGGGACCGCTCACCCCCACACACCCGGCTCAATGGTACCACCCAGCGTCGCGTGATGACGTCTCACATTTGGCGGGTGTCTTTCAGTAAAGTAAAGTAAAGTAAAGTAAAGAAATAAAGTAAAGTAAAGCAAAGTAAAGTAAAGTAAAGCAAAGTAAAGCAAAGCAAAGTAAAGTAAAGCAACTAAACAGGTTTCTTATCAATAAAAAGCGATATTGTGACGTCCAGTGGGACCGGAGCAGCAGCGGGTCCTCGGCGGGTCTCAGCGGGGAGCGGGTCCTCGGCGGGGAGCAGCGGGTCCTCGGCGGGGAGCAGCGGGTCCTCGGCGGGTCCTCGGCGGGCAGCCGGGTCCTCGGCGGGTCCTCGGCGGGCAGCAGGGTCCTCGGCGGGTCCTCGGCGGGGGCAGCGGGTCCTCGGCGGGTCCTCGGCGGGCGCACGGGTCCTCGGCGGGTCCTCAGCGGGGAGCAGCGGGTCCTCAGCGGGGAGCAGCGGGGAGCAGCGGGTCCTCGGCGGGGAGCAGCGGGTCCTCGGCGGGGAGCAGCGGGTCCTCGGCGGGGAGCAGCGGGTCCTCGGCGGGTCCTCGGCGGGCAGCAGCGGGTCCTCGGCGGGTCCTCGGCGGGCAGCAGCGGGTCCTCAGCGGGGAGCAGCGGGGAGATGGACTGGGATCAGCTGGAGCTCAACCCGAGGATCACTGCAGCCGTGAGGAGAGGTGAAAGAGCCGTAACTCCAGACTCCGTTTAGAAATATGACTCGTTAATATTTCATTCCTCTACCTTTAATGTAGTGACCTTATAGAACATGATTTAACACATTGTGTTAGACTTTATGTTTTGGTAGTACCTTCGGCACATACTGTATATAATTTATTGGTATATAACTATGTGTTTCTGTGCGTCACATTTTCCTAAGTCCTAAGAGTCTGAGTCCTGTCAATCTCCAGCTGTCCTATCATATCTAATAAAGGCAAAAAGCCCCCCAAAATAAATAAATATATATATATTAGATGGAACTGCTGTGCCAGACTCCATTCAGATTAACCACTATTTAATGTTTCATAACATATTGTCAAATGTAGTGACCTTATAGAGCCTAACTTAACACAACAACTTAACCTAGACGATTTAGTAGTATTACCGCTGTTTACTTTATATATTCTTCATATTTCTTTCCTTTTTAAGTTTTACGTGAATAGAAAATGCAGTAATGAGTATTCTCATGATTTCATGATCAATGGAGTTTCTATACAACAAATTCTCCTCAAGATCTGCTGTAACGAGTCCTTGATGTTTTAAAACGGCAAGATTTTGTATGGAGTTTGGTTGGAGGTTTGTTGTTAGATGTGAGTGATGGTTAGGGTCTGTCTGCTTCTTATTGGTGTTTGTCAGGAAAACTGTTCTTATTCTGATTAGTATTGTTGCCATGGTTACCACTGTTTCCCTGCAGCTAAACTGAAGTCTGTCAGGGAGGTGATGTGTGTTTCTGGTCCGGACCTGCAGGGACTCACCGGTCTGTCCCGGTCAGACATCCAGCAGCTGCTCACCGCTGTCGCCGCCGCCTGCAGGCGACACCCTCCAGTCCCGGGTCAGACCTGTAATGATGCAATCTGATTGGACAGCACAAAATGATGTCACAGCGTGCATTAACGTGTGTGTGTGTGTGTGTGTGTGTGTGTGTGTGTGTGTGTGTAGCCCTCCTGCTCCAGCGTGGACAGTGTCCCCGGTTGGAGTCCGGCCTCAGACTCAGTGTTGGATGTCCGGTCCTGGACGAGCTGCTGAGGGGGGGTCTGCCTGTGGGGGGCGTCACTGAGCTGTCAGGAGAGAGCGGAGCCGGGAAGACTCAGCTGGCTCTGCAGCTCTGTCTGTCTGTACAGTACCCACCACAGCACGGAGGACTGAACTCAGGTCAGTGAATGCACCACAGCACGGAGGACTGAACTCAGGTCAGTGAATGCACCACAGCACGGAGGACTGAACTCAGGTCAGTGAACGCACCACAGCACGGAGGACTGAACTCAGGTCAGTGAATGCACCACAGCACGGAGGACTGAACTCAGGTCAGTGAATGCACCACAGCACGGAGGACTGAACTCAGGTCAGTGAATGCACCACAGCACGGAGGACTGAACTCAGGTCAGTGAACCCACCACAGCACGGAGGACTGAACTCAGGTCAGTGAACCCACCACAGCACGGAGGACTGAACTCAGGTCAGTGAACGCACCACAGCACGGAGGACTGAACTCAGGTCAGTGAACCCACCACAGCACGGAGGACTGAACTCAGGTCAGTGAACGCACCACAGCACGGAGGACTGAACTCAGGTCAGTGAACGCTCCACAGCACGGTGGCTGAACTAGTTTCCTGTGAACGACCACAGCACGGTGACTATATCATGCACTGTATACTGGATGGTGTGTTCAACTAGTCAGTGTTTCCACAGTACGGAGGACTGAACTCAGTGTAGTGATCTGCACCATAGCACTGGATGGACTGAACGTTCAGTGTCAGTGATCCCCCTGTACGGAGGACTGAACTCAGGTCAGTGATCTGCACTGTATGTGCTGGATGGACTGAACTCACTGTCAGTGATTGCACCACAGTACGGAGGACTGAACTCAGGTCAGTGAACGCACCACAGCACTGTAGGACTGAACTCAGGTCAGTGAACGACTGTCTGTGGTCATGACACAGTACGGAGGACTGTGTATATCAGTGAACACCATATCACTGGATGGACTGAACTCAGTGTCAGTGAACCCACCAGCACGGAGGACTGTTATATCTGCACTGTATACTGGATGGTGCGTTCACTGTCTGTGTTTCCTGTACGGAGGACTGAACTCAGTGTCAGTAACTGCACTGTATCACTGGATGGACTGAACGTTCAGTGTCTGTGATTCCTGTAGGAGCTCTGTGTATATCTGCACTGTATACTGGATGAGTGAACCTTCAACTGTCTGTGTTTCCTGTAGGAGCTCTGTGTATATCTGCACTGTATGTGCTGGATGGTGCGTTCACTGTCTGTGTTTCCTGTAGGAGCTCTGTGTATATCTGCACTGTATGTGCTGGATGGTGCGTTCACTGTCTGTGTTTCCTGTAGGAGCTCTGTGTATATCTGCACTGTATACTGGATGGTGCGTTCACTGTCTGTGTTTCCTGTAGGAGCTCTGTGTATATCTGCACTGTATACTGGATGGTGCGTTCACTGTCTGTGTTTCCTGTAGGAGCTCTGTGTATATCTGCACTGTATACTGGATGGTGCGTTCACTGTCTGTGTTTCCTGTAGGAGCTCTGTGTATATCTGCACTGTATGTGCTGGATGGTGCGTTCACTGTCTGTGTTTCCTGTAGGAGCTCTGTGTATATCTGCACTGTATGTGCTGGATGGTGCGTTCACTGTCTGTGTTTCCTGTAGGAGCTCTGTGTATATCTGCACTGTATGTGCTGGATGGTGCGTTCACTGTCTGTGTTTCCTGTAGGAGCGGTGTATATCTGCACTGAGGACTCTTTTCCAATCAGACGTCTGCAGCAGCTGATCAGAGATCAGTCCCGTCTGCGCTCTGACGTCCCTCCAGATCTGATCAGCAGACTCCAGTTCAGTGACAGAGTGTACATTGAACACACCGCGGACCTGGTGAGTCTGTCCACTGACCTCAGATCAGGTCAGTGCTGCATTCAGTGTGTACACTAAACACACCACAGGCCTCAGATCAGTGATCAGCGGACTGGCACACACTGACAGGTGTTTAATTTACCTGCAGGAGTCGCTGCAGGTGTGTTTGTCCCGCCGTGTCCCCCTCCTGCTGGCTCGGGGGCTGGTCCGGCTCCTGGTGGTGGACTCAGTGGCGGCTCTGTTCAGGTCTGAGTTCCAGGCTGCTGATTGGCTGGAGAGGACCAAACAGCTGCTCACCTTCTCCTCCACACTGCACCACCTGAGCCTGGAGTTCACCACACCTGTCCTCCTCATCAACCAGGTTCCACACACACTCTCACACACACACACACACACACACACACACACACACACACACACACACACACACACACTCACACTCTCACACACTCTCACACACACACACACACACACTCACACTCTCACACCCTTTCACACACACTCACCCTTTCACACACACTCACACTTTCACACACACTCACACACACTCACACACATTCACCCTTTCACACACACTCACACACGGCATCAGGAGCAATTCAGGGTTCAGTATCTTGCTCAAGGATACTTCGACATGTGGCACCAGGAGCCGGGGATCGAACCTTCCGATTAAGGAACTACCCGCTCTGCCTCTGAGCCACAGCCGCCCAGTAGTATTTAAGGTAGTATTAGTAGTTCTGCAGTAGTATCTAAGGTAGTATTAGTAGTTCTGCAGTAGTATTTAAGGTAGTATTAGTAGTTCTGCAGTAGTATTTAAGGTAGTATTTGAAGTACTGCAGTAGTATTTAAGGTAGTATTAGTAGTACTGCAGTAGTATTTAAGGATATTGGCAGTAGTATTTAAGGTAGTATTAGTAGTACTGCGTAGTATTAGAAGTACTGCAGTAGTATTTAAGGTAGTATTAGTAGTACTGCAGTAGTATTTAAGGTAGTATTTGAAGTACTGCAGTAGTATTTAAGGTAGTATTAGTAGTTCTGCAGTAGTATTTAAGGTAGTATTTGAAGTACTGCAGTAGTATTTAAGGTAGTATTAGTAGTTCTGCAGTAGTATCTAAGGTAGTATTTGAAGTACTGCAGTAGTATTTAAGGTAGTATTAGTAGTACTGCAGTAGTATCTAAGGTAGTATTTGAAGTACTGCAGTAGTATTTAAGAGTATCTAAGATTTAAGGTAGTATTTGAAGTACTGCAGTAGTATTTAAGGTAGTATTAGTAGTTCTGCAGTAGTATCTAAGGTAGTATTTGAAGTACTGCAGTAGTATTTAAGGTAGTATTTGAAGTACTGCAGTAGTATTTAAGGTAGTATTTGAAGTACTGCAGTAGTATTTAAGGTAGTATTTGAAGTTCTGTCTCTCTCTGTGTTGTTTCAGGTCACCGATGTGTTCGACAGCTCAGACGACAGTTTGGGGTAAAACTATCAATATACAGATTTAATTTGTACATTTATATATAATCGATTGATAAATAATAGATTAATTTATGATGAAAGTCTAATTACAGGTTCCAAAGTTTTTTAGATTATTCAGTTCAAGTAACTGTTGTTGTAAATGATTATTAATAACCAATAATCATTGATTATTTCTGTCAGCCCTATGTCCTCCAACGTGTCACCAGCTCTGGGGTTGGCCTGGGCCAATCAGGTGACGGTTCGGCTGATGATGCGGCGGCTCCAGGTGACGGTTGCCCGTGGTGACCAGTGCAGCGCCCTCCGCAGGCTGGAGGTGGTGTTCGCTCCTCATCTGGCCCGAGACGGACGAGACGCCGCCGTGTGGAGGGAGGGCGTCCGCGGGGTCACAGACTGTACACGCATACAACAGTCCCATTGAAATATTTCAATGTAGATAAACACACACAGATAAATAACAAACACCTGTATGAGAGCGTAAACAAACACATTAAAGTGTTAACATTCGTCTGATGATGTCACTGTTTCAGTCTATATATGAACTTTGTGGCCAGAAGTGAGCGGACAGCCCTGGAGTCGCCTTATTGATTCAATTCAATTCAATTTTATTTGTATAGCACCAATTCATAACAGAAGTTATCTCAGGACACTTTTCAAATAGAGCAGGTCTAGACCGAACTCTTTAACATTAATTACAGAGACCCAACAGTACCACCATGAGCAAGACCTTGGAGACAAGGGCAAGGAAACACTGCCTGTTAAAAGGCAGAAACCTAGGACAGATCCTCCGGCTCTAGGTGGGTGGTCGTCTGTCTCGACCAGTTGGGGTGAGAGAGAGAGAGAGAGAGAGAGACAGAGAGAAACAGACAGACAGACAGGTTCACAGCAACAACAGTATTGGCAATGGCAATCAAGCAGGACCATGGCAGGAGGCTCCACCAGGATCCATGAGAACCTGCGAGACGAGAAAGCACAAGAACTCCGGGGAAGAAGTGAAGTTAGTAACATGCATTAATGGGAACATGAATGAGTGCAGAAAGAGAGAGGAAGAGAGGAGCTCAGTGCACCATGGGAAATCCCCCGATAGTCTAGGCCTATAGCAGCATAACTAAGGGATGGTTCAGGACTCACCTGATCCAGCCCTAACTATAAGCTTTATCAAAGGGGAATGTCTTAAGCCTACACTAAGGGTCGCCCAACTGGAAGCTGGTTCCACAGGAGAGGAGCTTGGTAACTGAAGGCTCTGGCTCCTGTTCTACTTTTAGAGACTATAGGAACCACAAGTAGCCCAGCATTCAGAGAACGTAGTGTTCTAGAGGGGTAATAGGGTACTATGAGCTCTTTAAGATATGAAGGGGCCTGACCATGAAGAGCTTTATAGGTGAGGAGGAGGATTTTAAATTCTATTCTACATTTTATAGGGAGCCAATGCAGAGTAGCTAGTACAGGAGAGATGTGATCTCTTTTTCTAGTTCCTGTCAGTACTCGTGCTGCAGCGTTCTGAATTAATTGGAGCGTTTTAATGGACTTATTGGGGCAACCTGATAATAAAGAGTTGCAGTAATCCAGCCTAGAAGTAACAAATGCATGGATTAGTTTTTCTGCATCTGTCTGTGATAGGATGTGTCTAATTTCTGTAATATTGTGTAAATGAAAGAAGGCGGTCCTAGAGGTTGAGGAGCTCCTCTCAGGTTAAAACAGCAGTTTTTTAATGGAACTTCTGTATTGTGTTTATTTGTGTATTTTTTGCTGAGTGCAGTACTTTTACTTAACGTAGTACGTTTACACTACAGCAGGTTGTTCACATGGATTATTGATTATCATCACTTTAGTCTCACATATATTGATTATATTTGATTGATCAGCGCCTCCTGTTGACCCTTACATATATTACACCATGACGTCAGGCAGCTCTCAGTGCGCCTGCGCCGTTTAACCACCGAGGAGAAGACGCCTCTTCAAAGTAAAAGCATGAAAGTAGAGTTGGTGTTTGGAGACAGCACTGTACACCTTCAGTTTATATGACTATTGATCAGCATATTGATGAACTGTCATTGATGATTTTGATAATAGTGGAATCTGTCCATCCAGAGAAAACTGCTGAAATCAGTGTTTTTTATGATTCATTGATTATTTTAATATTGGAGTTAATTTCCTGTCAATAAACGAACCGATTGATAAATAATTGTTGACTGTTTTTTATTTCTTTAATTTAAAAAAACAAACCAGCTTTCAGTACTTCCGGTCCGTTCTACCGGACTCTTATTGTGAAAACAACTGACCGGACGTGATGCATGGGTTGTTTCCGGTGGTGATCGGAGCACGAGCTTGACGGTGATGCGCAGCTCGTGAAGCTTCAGAGCACAAAGATCGAAGATCATCAGAAGGTTTGTTTGTTTGTTTGTTTGTTTGTTTGTTTGTTTGTTTGCAGCTGCATTAGCATCTGTTCATCATCGATGCGTCACTGATAGTTTACATAATCGATACAGAGCGATCAGATCAGACTGATGGAGGTTATTAGAGTGCAGACAGCAGCAGAGAGCTGATATTTCCAATCGATCCGGAATGATCAGTTCACAGCATCAAAACAGGAACAAATAATCCTTTCAAATAAATAACCTTATTTATAAAACAAACAAACAAACAAACAAACAAACGGAGCTGACGGGGCGTGGCCCTGCAGACCGGAAGTTTAATCGATAATGTTTATGATCAGTTTGTCAGGTTGTGATGGACATCGACAACGTTTCTAAATCTAAGGAGATATTGATTTGTCTTTTTATTGATAATATAATGTAATGTAATAATAATATAATAATAATGTAATGTAATAATAATATAATAATAATAATAATGTAATATAATATAATAATAATAATAATAATAATGTAATATAATATAATAATAATAATAATGTAATATAATATAATAATAATAATAATAATAATGTAATATAATAATCATATAATATAATAATAATGTAATATAATATAATGTAATATAATAATAATGAATATAATATAATAATCATAATATAATAATAATATAATATAATAATAATAATAATAATGTAATATAATATAATAATAATAATATAATATAATATAATATAATAATAATATAATATAATAATAATATAATATAATGTAATATAATGTAATATAATAATAATGTAATATAATATAATAATCATATAATATAATAATAATATAATATAATAATAATAATAATGTAATATAATATAATAATAATAATATAATATAATAATAATATAATAATAATTAATATAATAATAATAATAATATAATATAATAATAATATAATATAATAATAATAATAATAATAATGTAATGTAATATAATAATAATATAATATAATATAATGTAATATAATGTAATGTAATAATAATATAATATAATATAATAATAATAATATAATATAATAATAATATAATATAATAATAATAATAATAATAAGTAATGTAATGTAATATAATAATAATATAATATAATATAATGTAATATAATGTAATGTAATAATAATATAATATAATAATAATAATATAATATAATATAATAATAATAATAATAATAATGTAATGTAATATAATAATAATATAATGTAATATAATGTAATGTAATAATAATATAATAATATAATATAATAATAATATAATATAATAATAATGTAATATAATAAATTAATATAATAATAATGTAATATAATATAATAATCATATAATATAATAATAATATAATATAATAATATAATATAATAATAATGTAATAAAATAATAATGTCATATAATATAATGTAATATAATGTAATATAATAATTATGTAATATAATATAATGTAATATAATGTCATATAATAATAATATAATATAATAATAATGTAATATAATAATTATGTAATATAATGTAATATAATAATAATATAATATAATATCATATATCCAACCCAATCCAACTTTATTTGTTAAGCACTTTAAAACAACCAAAGTTGACCAAAGTGCTGTACAGGAGAATAAATAAGACATCATAAATAAAAAACATAACAGCTCACATGAGGCGCAAAATAACATATAATACAACAGTAAAATGAAAAGACATAAAACATGAGTAAAAATAATAACCACGCAATAAAAAGCAATCAAAAAGTAAAAATAACAAATACAAAAATTAAATCAAGTAAATAAAGTCGACATCTTACTAGGTGTCAAAGGCCACAGAGAAGAGATGGTTTTAAGACTGGTTTTAAAAACAGACAGAGAAGAGGCCTGTTTAACGTGCAGAGGCAGATCATTCCATAATTTAGGAGCAGACACAGCAAAGGCACGGTCCCCTCTGAGCTTCCGCTTAGTTTTAGGCACACTCAGGAGCAGCTGATCATCTGACCTGAGGGGGCGGACGGGTATATAGGGGTGTAGAAGCTCAGAGAGGTAGGGCGGGGCAAGACCATTTAGGGATTTAAAAGCAAATAAAAGAATTTTAAAATGGATCCTAAATTGAATAGGCAGCCAGTGGAGTGAGCCTAAAATGGGGGAAATGTGCTCATGTTTACGTGTGCCAGTTAAAAGACGTGCAGCAGCATTCTGTACCATCTGAAGACGGGCGATGAAGGACCCACTAACCCCCACATATAGTGCATTACAGTAATCCAGGCGAGTGGTAACAAAGGCGTGGATTACCGTCTCAAAGTGCTGCCTTGATAGAATTGGCTTTATTTTGGCCAGCTGCCTCAAATGGAAAAAGCTTGATTTGACAACAGCCTTGATCTGACTGTCAAACTTAAGCTCGGGGTCCACCTTAACCCCTAGGTTTGTGATGCTAGGTTTAATATACTGGGCCAAGGAACCCAGATCTACAGAGAGAAGCAGAGGAGGATACAGAGTCACCTAGGCTGACAGAGAAAGTTCGATCAGCCAAGTACGACCTGAACCACTCCAGTGCTATGCCCCTGATGCCCACCCACTGCTTCAAATGTGAGATCAATATTTCATGATCCACTGTGTCAAATGCAGCAGTTAAATCTAAAAGCACAAGGATAACAGTCACCAGAGTCAGTAGCTAAAAAGATATCATTAAAAACTCTTAAGAGAGCTGATTCGGTGCTGTGCAGGGTTTTAAAACTGGATTGGAAAACCTCTAGGATATTATGTTCTTCCAGAAAGGGTCCAGACACAGATTGCACAAGATTAAAAGAATAAATGAGGTTTAAAAACCCTTTGTCATTGGCTTAACACACATGAACATTAAAATCCCCAACAATAAGAACACGGTCATATTTAGGATGATTTCAGCCAGGAAATCAGAAAAGTCATTTAAAAAGTCCTTATTGTACCTGGGAGGCCGATAGACCACAGCACACAACACTGTGTGAGAGCGACCAAGCTCAAATAAGCTCAGTTCAAAGCTGGTGAAAGAGGATGACAGCAATAACTGCTTACATTTATAATGACTCTTATAGACGGTCGCTATTCCTCCTCCTCGGCCCGACGTCCACAGGGAGTTAAAGTAGCAGCAATCATGGGGTGAAAGTTCAGTGAAAGCCCTGGATTCACCAACACTCAGCCAAGTCTCAGTCACACAGAGGAAATCCAATCCTCGGGACGTGAAGAAATGGTGACGTTGGAGTCCGGTGTCTGCTCGATGATTGCAGGGATGTAGAGTTTAAACCTCCTCTTCATCATCCTCCGTTTAACTCCCGCTCTGCAGCCTCGCCGTCTCCTCCTCAGCTCCTGCGGTATGGAGAGTCTCTCTCCAGTCGGGATGCTAGGGTACCTCAGGGTGATCATCTGGTCGCGGGTGTAAACAATGCGACTCCCTGTCGCCATGGAGACCAGCGTAAACAAAAAATTAAAAGAGCTCAAAAAGGCTGAAAAAGTATTTATAATATAATGTAATATAATAAAATATAATATAATATAATATAATATAATTATAATATAATAATAATATAATATAATGTAATGTAATATAATATAATTTAATTTAATTCTAATATAATAATAATATAATACAATGTAATGTAATATAATATAATGTAATATAATATAATATAATATAATATAATAATATAATGTAATTTACTATAATATAATGTAATGTTATGTAATGTAATATAATATAATATAATAATATAATGTAATTTACTATAATATAATATAATGTGATGTAATGTTATGTAATGTAATGTAATATAATTTAATATAATTTAAGATAATATAATATAATGTAATGTAATTTAATATAATGTAATGTAATTTAATATAATGTAATATAATAATAATAATGTAATAATATATTATAATTTGATATAATATAATGTAAAAATAAAGTAAAATTTAGTACAATAATAATATAATAAATAATATAATTTAATATAATATTATATAATGTAATGTAATGTAATTAAATGTAATTTAATATAATATAATATAATGTAATGTAATGTAATTTAATATAATGTAATACAATGTAATATAATATAATGTAATGTAATGTAACGTAATTTAATGTAATTTAATATAATATAATATAATATAATATAATGTAATGTAAAGTAATGTAATTTAATATAATAATAATATAATAATATAATATAATTTAATATAATGTAATGTAATATAATATAATATAAGTAATGTAATGTAATGTAATTTAATATAATGTAATACAATGTAATATAATGTAATGTAATTTAATATAATGTAATATAATGTAATATAATATAATGTAATGTAATTTAATATAATGTAATATAATGTAATATAATGTAATATAATATAATGTAATTCAATTTTTTCAATTCAATTTTATTTTTATAGCACCAATTCATAACAGAAGTTATCTCAGGACACTTTTCAAATAGAGCAGGTCTAGACCGAACTCTTTAAAACATTATTTACAGAGACCCAACAGTACCACCATGAGCAAGACCTTGGAGACAAGGGCAAGGAAAAACTGCCTGTTAAAAGGCAGAAACCTAGGACAGATCCTCCGGCTCTAGGTGGGTGGTCGTCTGTCTCGACCAGTTGGGGTGAGAGAGAGAGAGAGAGAGAGAGGCAGAGAGAGAGAGAGAGAGAGAGAGAGACAGACAGACAGGTGCACAGCAACAACAGTATTGGCAATGGCAATCTAGCAGGACCATGGCAGGAGGCTCAACCAGGATCGACAAGAACCTGCGAGACAAGAAAGCACAAGAACTCCGGGGAAGAAGTGAAGTTAGTAACATGCATTAATGGGACATGAATGAGTGCAGAAAGAGAGAGGAAGAGAGGAGCTCAGTGCACCATGGGAAATCCCCCGATAGTCTAGGCCTATAGCAGCATAACTGCGGGATGGTTCAAGACTCACCTGATCCAGCCCTAACTATAAGCTTTATCAAAGAGGAATGTCTTAAGCCTACTCTTGAATGTGGTGAGGGTGTCTGCCTCCCGAACCACAACTGGAAGCTGGTTCCACAGGAGAGGAGCTTGGTAACTGAAGGCTCTGGCTCCTGTTCTACTTTTAGAGACTATAGGAACCACAAGTAGCCCAGCATTCAGAGAACGTAGTGTTCTAGAGGGGTAATAGGGTACTATGAGCTCTTTAAGATATGAAGGGGCCTGACCATGAAGAGCTTTATAGGTGAGGAGGAGGATTTTAAATTCTATTCTACATTTTATAGGGAGCCAATGCAGAGAAGCTAGTACAGGAGAGATGTGATCTCTTTTTCTAGTTCCTGTCAGTACTCGTGCTGCAGCGTTCTGAATTAATTGGAGCATTTTAATGGACTTATTGGGGCAACCTGATAATAAAGAGTTGCAGTAATCCAGCCTTGAAGTAACAAATGCATGGATTAGTTTTTCTGCATCTGTCTGTGATAGTATGTGTCTAATTTTTCTAATATTAAGTAAATGAAAGAAGGCAGTCCTAGAGGTCTGCTTTATGTGGGAGTTAAATGACAAATCCTGATCAAAGATAACTCCAAGATTCCTGACAGTGGTGCTAGAGGCCAAGGTAATGCCATCTAGAGTAACTATATCTTTAGACAGTGAGTCTCTAAGGTTTTTGGGGCCAAGAACAAGAATTTCGTTTTTTTCTGAGTTTAACATCAGAAAATTGCAGGTCATCCAGGATTTTATGTCCTTAAGACATGTTTGTAATTTAGATAATTGATTAATTTCATCTGGCTTGATTGATAGATATAACTGCGTATCATCTGCATAACAGTGAAAGTTAATGGAGTGATTCCTAATAATGTTGCCTAAAGGGAGCATATATAAAGTAAATTGTATTGGTCCAAGTACAGAACCCTGTGGAACTCCATGACTAACTGTAGTATTTATTGAAGATTCATCGTTAACATGTACAAACTGAGAACGATCTGATAAATATGACTTAAACCAGCTTAGTGCGGTTCCTTTAATGCCAATTTGATGCTCAAGTCTCTGTAAAAGAATATCATGGTCAATGGTGTCAAATGCAGCACTAAGATCTAATAATACAAGTACAGAGACAAGTCCATTGTCAGAAGCAGTCAGAAGGTCATTATTAACTTTAACCAGAGCTGTCTCTGTGCTGTGATGAACTCTAAATCCTGACTGAAAATCCTCAAATAAACTATTGTTATGTAGAAAGTCACACAACTCTTTGGCGACTACTTTCTCCAGAATCTTAGAGAGGAAGGGGAGGTTAGAAATCGGTCTATAGTTGGCTAAAACCCCTGGGTCAAGAGTGGACTTTTTAAGAATGGGTTTAATTACAGCTACTTTAAAGGACTGTGGTACATGTCCTGATAATAAAGAAAGATTAATCATATCCAGTAAAGAAGTGCCAATTAAGGGAACAACTTCTTTAAGCAGCCTAGTTGGGATCGGGTCTAATAGACAGGTTGATGGCTTCGATGAAGAAATGATTGTAATGTAATGCAATGTAATATAATGTAATGTAATGTAACGTAATTTAATGTAATTTAATATAATATAATATAATGTAATGTAAAGTAATGTAATTTAATATAATAATAATATAATATAATTTAATATAATGTAATGTAATATAATATAATATAATGTAATGTAATGTAATTTAATATAATGTAATGTAATGTAATTTAATATAATGTAATATAATATAATATAATGTAATGTAAAGTAATTTAATTTAATATAATAATAATATAATATTATAATATAATATAATATAATGTAATGTAATGTAATTTAATATAATGTAATGTAATGTAATATAATGTAATGTAATGTAATATAATATAATATAATATAATGTAATGTAATGCAATGTTAGCCACCAGGGGGAGATAGAGAGAGTCTTTATGTTTGTGTGTTTCTGTTTCCTTGTCCAGCAGAGGTCACATGTCTCCCTCCGCCCCTCTCTCATTGGTCCTCCTCCTCCTGGGTCTGGTCTCTACGGAGACCACTGACCAATCCCTGGAGGACCTGTCCAATAGAAACACAGACTTTGCCGCCCGGCTGTACCGTGCCGTCTCCAGTCGCACTGACGACAACGTCTTCTTGTCAGCGTTCACACTGTCCACCGCGCTGTCTGCCCTGCTGAGCACCACCAGTGGACCGACCCAGAGCCAGCTTCTGCAGGGACTCAGCCTCACCGGAGTGGACCCTAAGACCCTCCCAGGTAGGTCAGAGGTTAGGTGTTAGAGACCAGGTACCAGGGACCAGGGACTTAAACTAGAGTTACAGTCCATCTCTGCTGTTCCAGATCTGTTCCAAGGCCTCAGGACCCTGGTCCTGCAGGGGACTGTAGCCCAGAACCTGAAGGAGGGCATGGCTGTCTTCCCCTCCCAGTCTTTCCCTGTCTCACCAACCTACCAGGACCAGGTTCAGACCAAGTTTGGGGGGACTGCTCAAAATCTGGCCTACACAGCGCCGCAGGAAGCCACCGACACCATCAACCGTTGGGCCCAGGACCGGACTGGAGAGCATGTCCAGGAGCTGGGGACCAGCCTGGACCCCCAGACCCAGCTGCTGCTCACTACCGCTGCCTACTACCAGAGTACGCATGATGGGGGCGGGGTTATCGAGCAGGAGACGGGGTTAGCAGTCAGAGGGCGGGGTTATCGAGCAGGAGACGGGGTTAGCAGTCAGAGGGCGGGGTTATCGAGCAGGAGACGGGGTTAGCAGTCAGGGGGGGTTACGGGGGGGTTAGCAGTCAGGGGGCGGGGTAGGGGCGGGGTTAGCAGTCAGAGGGCGGGGTTAGAAGTCATGGGGCGGGGTTAGCTGTCAGGAGACGGGGTTAGCAGTCAGGAGACGGGGTTAGCAGTCAGAGGGCGGGGTTAGAATTCATGGGGCGGGGTTAGCAGTCAGGGGGCGGGGTTAGCAGTCAGAGGGCGGGGTTAGCAGTCAGAGGGCGGGGTTAGCACTCAGAGGGCGGGGTTAGCAGTCAGAGGGCGGGGTGAGCAGTCAGAGGGCGGGGTGAGCACTCAGAGGGCGGGGTTAGCAGTCAGAGGGCGGGGTGAGCACTCAGAGGGCGGGGTTAGCACTCAGAGGGCGGGTTAGCACTCAGAGGACGGGGTTAGCACTCAGAGGGCGGGGTTATCGAGCAGGAGACGGGGTTAGCTGTCAGGAGACGGGGTTAGCAGTCAGGGGCGGGGTTAGCAGTCAGGGGCGGGGTTAGCAGTCAGAGGGCGGGGTTAGCAGTCAGAGGGCGGGGTTATCGAGCAGGAGACGGGGTTAGCAGTCAGGAGACGGGGTTAGCAGTCAGGGGGCGGGGTTAGCAGTCAGGGGGCGGGGTTAGCTGTCAGGAGACGGGGTTAGCTGTCAGGGGGCGGGGTTAGCAGTCAGGGGGCGGGGTTAGCTGTCAGGAGGCGGGGTTAGCAGTCAGGGGGTAAATAGTTTTAATAATACACATGTTTTTTGTGTTTCAGGCCGCTTCAGTCCGGCCTTTAACGCGTCTTCCACTCAGGACGAGCGTTTCTACGTGGACAAGTATCATGTGGTCATGGTTCCCATGATGTTCCGGGCCGATAAGTTCTTCCTGGCGTACGACCGCTCGGCGAAGGTCGGTGTGCTGAAGCTGCCGATGGCAGACGGGACGGCCATGTTGGTTCTGCTGCCCGATGAAGACGTTGAAATCACTGCCGTCGAAGAGGAAGTGACCGGAGAGAAGATCCAGGCCTGGATCAGACAGCTGAAGAAGACGTGAGTCCTGTTTCCTTCCCTCCCTCCTTCCCTTCCTCCTTTCATCCTTCCCTCCCTCCCTTCCTTCTTCCCTTCCTCCTTCCATCCTTCCCCCCTCCCTCCTTCCTCCCTCCTTCCCCTTCCCTCCTTTCATCCTTCCCCTCTCCCTCCTTCCCCCTTCCTCCTTTCATCCTTCCCTCCCTCCCTTCCTTCTTCCCTTCCTCCTTCCATCCTTCCCTCCCTCCCTCCCTCCCTTCCTCCTTCCTCCTTTCATCCTTCCCTCCTTCCCTTCCTCCTTCCTCCTTTCATCCCTCCCTCCCTCTCCTCCTCCCTCCCTCCCTTCCTCCTCCCCCCTCTCCTTCCCTTCCTCCTTCCTCCTTCCTCCTTCCATCCTTCCCTCCCTCCCTTCTTCCCTTCCTCCTTCCTCCTTTCATCCCTCCCTCCCTCCTTTCATCCTTCCCCCCTTCCTTCCCTCCCTTCCCCCTTCCTCCTTCCCTCCCTCCCTTCCCTCCCTCCCTTCCTCCTCCCCTCCTTCCTTCCCTTCCTCCTTCCTCCTTCCATCCTTCCCTCCCTCCCTCCTTCCCTTCCTCCCTCCTTCCCTTCCTCCTTCCTCCTTTCATCCTTCCCTCTCTCCCTTCCTCCTTCCCTCCCTCCCTTCCTTCTTCCCTTCCTCCTTCCATCCTTCCCTCCCTCCCTCCCTCCCTCCTTCCTCCCTCCTTTCATCCTTCCCTCCCTCCCTCCCTCCTTCCCTTCCTCCTTTCATCCTTCCCTCCCTCCTTCCCTTCCTCCTTTCATCCTTCCCTCCCTCCCTTCCTTCTTCCCTTCCTCCTTCCATCCTTCCCTCCCTCCCTCCCTCCCTTCCTCCTTCCTCCTTTCATCCTTCCCTCCTTCCCTTCCTCCTTCCTCCTTTCATCCCTCCCTCCCTCCCTCCCTTCCCTCCCTCCCTTCCTTCCCTTCCTCCTTCCTCCTTCCTCCTTCCATCCTTCCCTCCCTCCCTTCTTCCCTTCCTCCTTCCTCCTTTCATCCCTCCCTCCCTCCTTTCATCCTTCCCTCCTTCCTTCCCTCCCTTCCCCCTTCCTCCTTCCCTCCCTCCCTTCCCTCCCTCCCTTCCTCCTCCCCTCCTTCCTTCCCTTCCTCCTTCCTCCTTTCATCCTTCCCTCTCTCCCTTCCTTCTTCCCTTCCTCCTTTCATCCTTCCCTCTCTCCCTCCCTCCTTCCTTCCATCCTTCCCTCCCTCCCTCCTTCCTTCCCTCCCTCCCTCCCTCCCTTCCCCCTTCCCTCCCTCCCTTCCCTCCCTTCCTCCTCTTGAGAGAGTTGAGCTGTTGTTTTATTTTGTAAACAGGAAGTTGGAGGTGCAGCTGCCGCGCTTCCTGTTGGAGCGTTCCTACTCTCTGCGTGACGTCATGCAGACTCTCGGCGTCACTCAGGTGTTTCAGGATGACGCTGACATCATCAACATGGGCGAAGCTAAAGGGCCCAAACTCACACAG